GTAATCCAGAAATGATTTAATACACATGGGAGAGGACTAGAAATGTAGCTTGGTGGTAAGCTTAGGATGTGAGAGACCCTTCGTTCAATCCTCAGCACTGCAAAGAAAAAAAAATAAGAATGCACATAGGTTATATGCAAATACTACCCCATTTCTCTTAAGGTACTTAAGCAGTATGAAGGACTCAGAATGGAGGTTTTCTTTAGGGTTTATTTCCTTATTACCTACTAGTTCAGCTCTTCCCATACCAGGAATTTCTCTGAGCCCTACAAGAAAACTGTATCTATTGCTTTGATGTCACTGAGGGTATCAAAACAACTGTCAGATCAGAAATCTTGGTGTTTTCCTACTCAGTTTAAGGTCTGTAAAAATCATAACGTACAAGCCAGGAAATTGAAGCCACCAGCTACAACAGTTACATGCAATTTCTACATGGATTCGATGAAACTTAAAAGAATAGTAACTACAGATGAGAGTTGCTTATGCAAGTAATGGAAAATAAACATTTTTAGGGCTTTTGCATCTACAGCTTTTCCCTAGTTGGAGAACCAACTACCAGCTACAATTTAGTGAAACTGGAAAGAATTTTATTTTTGTAAAAACTAAATGGGGTGTGGTGCATTTTCTTGCCAAAGGGCTATTTTATTCCAAGACACTGGTGTCTGCTGACCTTCATTTATAGGCTGAGCAATATTCTATTTAAGTAAAATTAACTCATCGTGGGCTCTTTTTTTAGGATGCAATAATTATTGCAAAGAAATAACAATGTTTAAATGTGATTTGTTCTTAGTTTAGATTTGATTATACTGGATTATAAGTGAATGTCTTTGTCCACACAGTGTTTAAATTTAGAAATTATTTTATTTAAAGAAAAAGGCCATTTTAAATATATTTTCTTTATTTAAAATATTTTTAGGAGGGCAGAGGAGAAGGTTCAGCATGTAAAGGTGCTGATGACCCAAGTTCAATCCCAGAACCCACATAAAATGCCAGATGTGGTGGCAAGTATGTGTATTCCCAACACTTTCACAGAGAGATAGGAAGTGGAGTCAGGAGAATTGCCTTGGAAGCTGGAGGGAGCAAACAGCACAGCAGCAGAAACAGGAGACTTTGCCTCAAAATGGTAGAGGGTGAGAACCAATTCCCAACAGTTGTCCTCTGACCTTCAAATGAGTGCGAGTACACACATTAATAAAAATTACCATAATTTTGGGTTTCGTTACAACCAGTATTACTTTTTTCTATTCTACCACATTGCAGGAGTTTATCTTCTCCTTCTTTGGAGCCTGCGTACTGAATAATTTTCATGAAAACCTTCTGTTAACTTAATAAATTATGAAACCATTCATGAATAGAAAATATTGCCCATATTATCACTTTAGTTAACTATTACATGTATAGTTATGTATGGTATATAAATATATACATATATATATATATAGATAGATATATGATAGATAGATAGATAGATAGATAGATAGATAGATAGATAGATAGATAGACTTCAAGACTGAGTGAGTACATTTTAATGTTTGCATGAGTTAACATGCATTCGTGATTGTCCTATAGACTTTTTAAAGAGACAGGGTCTCATGTATCCCAGGCTGGCTTTGAACATAATCTTGAACTTCTGAGCTTCCTCCCTCCACCTCCTTCTGTTCCACTTCCTTTCACCTCCTGTGTGCTGGGTCTTTTAGGCTTGTACCATTATGCTCAGTTCATGGTGTGCCGGATCAAACCCAGAGCTTCATATATGCTAGGCAAGCACTCATCAACTGAGCCGTATCCTGGGCTTGGCCACCTCCTTTCGTTATTTTTTTTTTCAATACTAACAGACTTCAAGGTTCCAAGCATATCACATTTCCCTTCATCCCTATACGGATCTCTAATTTTGTAAGTTTTTTTCATTTGCTGCTTACATCTACACTGTACTCTAGCTTGATTTTCCTCTGAAGGCGCATCTAAAACTGCAATACTTTGATTTTAGGTAAAAAAGCGAATGCATGAGCTGACTTCTGTTTTTGAACATGTAATCTGTTGATGTAATTTTTTGTTATCTTGATTGAATGACAAGTTGGTTATATCAGTTTTTAATTATTACAGGATGAAATAATTAAAATTGAATTATTTAACCAGGTTTGGTAATCCAGCTACTTCAGAGGCTGAAACAAGATCAAGGCCAACTTGAGTAACTTAGCAAGACCTTGCCTCAAAATAAAAATAAATAAATAAATAAAAAATGCTAGCACACCCAATGCCTTCAGTTCAATCACTAGACACACACACACACACACACACATACACACACACACACCCAGAGAGAAAAGTAATTATTTATAACCACTAACAAAAATGATTTTGCGACAGCTGTAATTGAGATCCACAAATTGTTTAAAATATTTGTTGAATGTTTCAATAGCGTTCATTTCCTTGTTTTTGATTTTGAAGTTCCACTGAAGGAAAAACTAACAAATATAATTTACCAATTTCTAAAGGTTATATACTGTTTTAGATAGATATTTACAGATGGAACAACCACATAGTTGGTGAAAGCACTTATCTCAAGCTTGACAACCTCAGTTCAATCCCAGAAGCCAAGAACAAGGACTCCAATTCCTGAAAGCTGTCTTCTGACCTCTACATGGGGGCATATACACTCACACACGTTATTTTCTTTTAAAGAAAGACATTGATTTAATTTATAACACTATGCCTTTTTAACATTTCAGTTTTCTCTAATTTTTTTGCCTATGCTGTTTCTCCCCAAAGTAAATTTTGTAACACTCACATTTTTATTATTGTGAAAACCCTGAAAATCTTGATGCATTACCCCCAACTGCCAAACCAGGCATCAACATTAACTATTTATTACCTTTCATCTATGCTTAAGCTCTATTTGTTAATGACAATGAGATTGTTGTAAATTGTGTCTGTAACTTATTAGGAGTCACGTTTCCAATTTCCCTTGAAAGGAAGTACTTTTGACTGTTGGATAGCTCATCCTCATCAAAAGATGAACTAAATGATATATAGGTTTCTGAGGTAAGCAAAGTGACACTTTCAACCTACAGCTTTGCTTATACCATCTCTATTCACAATGAAAAGCAACAGAAAGCAGTTTTCTCACAATGGCATTAAATAAAGCAAACAAGGGCTGCAAAATGGCTTAGTGGGCAAGGGTACTTGTTGCCAAGACTGATGACCTGAGTTCAATCTCTAGGACCTAAATGTTGGAGAGAACTGATTTCCGAAAGTTGTCCTCTGACCTTCACACACGCACCCACAAATAAATAAATGAAAAATAAAACAAAAACTCATCCTATTTTTATTTTTTAGATTTATTTTTAATTTTTAATTGTGTGTATGCATGTGTGTCTGTGTATGGGTATAGGCATGTAAGTGCAATTGACCACAGAAGCCAGAAGGGGGATTGGATGCCTTGGAACTGGAGTTAGAGCAGAGATGGTTGTAAGTCACCATATGTTTGCTGGGAATGGAAATGAGATCTGCAAGAACTCTTAACCACTGAGCTATCTTTCTGGTGCCACCCCATATTTTAGTAGTATATGATGATAAGATAAAAAGGTTCAAATTATAGGAACATTAAGAAGTCCAGATATAAGACAAGGATAATGTAAAACATTAATTGAGCTATAATCAGAAACATTTGTTGAAAATGTACTATAAGCTAGTTGGTTTATAAGTGTTCTCATCTAACTCTTCTTTTTGGCAGGAGGGGGATGGGTCTCATGTAGACCAAGCTAGCCTCAAACTCACTTAGTAGCTGAGGATGTCCTTGAACTTCTGATTTTCCTGCCTCCACCTCCCAAGTGTTAGGATTACAAACATGTGCCATTACATCAGTCTCTCATTTAATTCTAAGGACATTGAGAAGTAAGTAGTAGTATTATTATTTTACAGATGGAGAAGTTGTGGTTTAGAAGAGTTAAGAATTCTCCTTAATACCATAGACATATGAAATGGCACAGCCATTGCAAAGTGTTGAGAACCTGTGGTTGCTTCAGGCACACCTTTCCTATCTTATTTTGGAAGTCAATTAATGCCCAAAGCAAGCAAGTCTTTTGGGAGGGTGATCTATCATGGGAAGTAATAAAAGCAACTGGAATGGTCTGGGTGGGAAGCAGCAGTCTGGGATAAATTTAAATAGACAAAAATATTGCTGAAATCACATGCTTATAATTTCGAGTGTTACCATATTGTTCTGAACCCATGCACAGAGTGTCAGCATCAGAATTTTTACCACTATTTGACTTCTATTTAATTATAGTACTTAAGCAACTGAAAAGAAATGAACAATTTTGAGTTTAACTAAAAGATTATTGATTGATATCAAAGTAGCTTAAGGTACCAAAAACTTGAAATGAAAGTCTATCTGCAGTCGTATAAGCACTTCCAGGATTAATTATTGTCTTTGTGGTGGACTGAGTGAGAAATATATAGGTTCGTGTATCGAACACTTGGTTCTTAGTTAGTGGTGCTGTTAGTGGAGGGTCAAGAGGTGTGGCTTTGCTGGAGGAATTGTGTCACTGAGGGTAGGCCTCCAGAGTTCATAGCCTCATACCACTTCCAACTGTCTCTCAATTTCTTATGTGTACTTAAAGATATGAGCTCCCAGCTTCCCTCTCAAGCCTCCATGCCTGCAGCTTGCTGTATGCCTCCACACCTTGATGGACTTTTAAAGCTCCGCAGTCATAAGCCCAAAGAAACTTTTCCTTCTATGAATTACCATTATCACAACCACAGAAAAATAACTAATACAGTTGTTAACATATGTATGAAGATGTCATGATGAAATGCCGTTAGTTTTTATGTTAACCTAAAATTTAAAAAATTTTAAAGTACATTTAGGAAACTGAATATTTATGATAATAGCTGACCTTTGCAGACTTGAATTGAGTTTTATATTGCCTGATATGTAATGGCTTCTTGAAAACAATGTTTCTCTTGAGTCAAAAAGTAGAGCTTATGATAGCACTCACCACAGGATTGTTCTTCTTTATGCTTTGCTCTTGTTACCTAGATTAGAAGAAGGCAAAATATTTCTAAGACTCTTACATAAGCTGTTTCTACTTTAGAGTTACAGATGGCACAACAGACTACATATATGAAAAAAAAAGCCTGGTTTGGCTTGGTGGGGGGATTCTATTTTGCCACTGTCTAAAATCAAGCTTTTATTATTATTATTATTATTATTATTATTATTAATTACTGTGGTGGGAATGGAAATCAGAGTCTCCAATGTTAAGCAAGCACTGTACCAGTAAGCTACATGCCCCCATTATCCCTTTGCTTAAGCCACTGTTTAAATATCAGAGATGGTCAAAAAGACTCATCTTTTTCCATCTTTTAAACAATCATTGCAATTTCTCTCTTAAGAAATAACTGTGGAGCTGCAAAATGATTTTTGTGAAAGGATGTTCACTGAAGCATTAGCAATAAGATCTGGATACAATGTATATGTTCAACAACTCAGAATTAGGGAAATAAAACACAGAATTTCCACTGTACAGTATACCATAGAGATTTTATACATTTTCAAAAATATTGAATTACCTTCAAAATAGTATCACAATATTGTAAGTGAAAAATGATATTAGATGTAGTAGTTTTGTGCATCAGGTGGGGTAAGGAGAAAGAGGGGGAGGCAAAGAGGGAGATGGAGAGGGAGAGGGAGAGAGAAATACTGGCAAATTCTGAGACTATAATCTTAGCATTAGGGAGGATCTGGAATTTGAGGTTGGCCTGGAATAGCAAAATCCCGTTTCAGAAAAGACACAGAATGTGAGGGGCCCTCTGGGGTTATAACAGTGATAGAGTGCTTGCCTAATATGAACAAAGCCTTGTGTTCACGAACACCAAAAGAAAGGAAAGAAGGAGTAAGGAACAAGGAAGAGGGAGAGAATGAGAGATAGGAGAGAGAGAGAGAGAGAGAGAGAGAGAGAGAGAGAGAGAGAGAGAGAACAGTATTTATAAAGTTTTGTCTACTGCGCTTTTTCTTTACTTTTTGATGTTGGGGTAGAAGCCAGGACCTAGCAAATGCCAGGTAAGAGTAAATCTTCAATCTTCAATTTTTGTTATTTTGTCTTTTTTTTTGGACCTGAGGACTGAACCCAGGGCCTTGCACTTGCAAGGCAAGTGCTCCTTCACTAAGCTAAATCCCCAACCCCAACCTTCAATTTTTAAAACTATCGCCATATGAAACAAATAGATGAAAATATGAGCAGGTGGTACATTTATGAGTATTTTTTCTCCATAAGTACTTTTCTGTTTCCAATTTTTACAACAGTGCTGTAACTTTTTATTAAAAACAAGTTGATCATAAACATCTTAAGTCCATAATTGGGAGGCTGAGGCATGAGGGCTTCCATAACTTCAAGGCCAGACTTGGTTATATAGCAACACTGTCTCAAAAAAAGTCCTTAAAGAGGCAGTACTTAAGACATCTTCTTAATAGATTGAAGAATTCATATTTACTGAATATTATAGCAATAAAATGTGTCCAAGGACAATTTCTTAAATTGTTCACATCTGGATGAACATGTAACAGTTTATAACAGTACTTTTTCCCTGGCTTGAAGTACCAGTCCCATGATATTGAAAGGACAATAAATACCCCAGATAAAAATATATAATCAAGAAATATAGACAAAAAAATTTCTAAATCATAGTTGTCCTGGCTAAGGATATACCTCAGCATCAGAGCACATTCTTAGTATACATAAGGCCCTGAGTTCAACAGCTAGCACCAAACTTAAAATATTCTATGAAAGACTGTATTATTCAGTATCAATAACAGAATGTCAGTCTGAGTACAACACTACAATTGGAGTTATTGTGGAGAACACAACAATATGAAAAGCTAAGATTTTTCTACTGCTCACATTGCATTTTATAGAAAGCACTTTCTATATTTACATATAATTATATTACTTATATATATTCATATTTTTGTGTGTATGTACATCACAACTTAAGAGAATCAATCTCCTATTTTCAATCCATGGTTTGAAGATTACACAAAATACCTTTCCTGTTAAACTGGGGCTGGAAAGATGGTTCAGCAGTTAAGAGCACTGATTACTCTTGCAGAGGACCTGGGTTTGATTCCTAGCATCCACATGGCAGTTAGTAACTGTCCATAACTCTAGTTCCAGGGAGTCCAATGCCCTCTTCTGACCTCCACAGGCATTGAACCACACGGGTGCACCTACCTACATGCAAGCAATATACTCATACACAAAATAAAACCTATAAAATATTTAAAAAATAGCTGGGTGTGATGATGCACTCCTTTAATCCCAGCACTCAGGAGGCAGAGGCAGGTGGGTCTCTATGAGTTCAAGGCCAGCCTGCTCTACATAGTAAGTTCCAGGCCAGCTGGAGCTACAGGGAGACCCTGTCTCAAAAAGGCCAAAAAAAAAAAAAATTAAAAAAAATAAATAAACCTTTGAAATCAAAGATAGCAGAAGAGTTCACATTTCACAAAAAAATGATTTCTAGTAGTAAAAAGAACCACTTTTCAGAAGTAATCATGTGAATTTTTATTTTCTTTCTTTTTATTGTAATTGCTTTAATATTTATTTTTATTATTTTAAATTATGTGTATGTGTGCATGTGTTTGGGGATGCACACATGTCTAGGTACCTCTAGAGGCCAGAGTTGTCAGATCTGCACAGAAGTGGAGCTACAGGCAGTTGTGAGGCACTGGAAGTGTAAGAGCTGAGAATGAGGCTCTGGTCCTTTACAAGAGCAGTGTGCGCTTTTGACCACCAAGCCATCGTTCTAGCTTTGATTCTTGGTTATTTTCAAAAGTCATTTACCTGGCCTGGCAAGTTAGAACAACAGGTAAAAGCACCATTTTCTAAACACGATGACCTGAGTTCAATATTTTAGACCCATGTAGTAGCACGGCACGGGAAAGCAAATTCTTTCCACAGGCTGTCTTCTAACCTCCATACATGTGCCATGGCACAACTGTATGCAAACACATATGCACACACATACATAAATAATAAATGAATAAATTTTTAATTGTAAAAAATTAATTAAAAATAGAACTGCCATTCAACACAAGTATACCTACCTCTTGGTATATGCCAAAAGGATTCTGTACCCTACCACAGAGATATTTTCTCACACATGTTTATTGATTCTCTGTTCACAATAGCAAGGAAATGGAATCAGCCTACGTGTCTATCAGTAGATAAACATCTAAAGAAAATTTGGCACATACACACTGGATAATTTTATTTAGCCATAAAGAAAAATGAAATTGTGAAATTTGCTGGGAAAATGGCATATGGGCATTTTATCTGATAACTTACTTGCATTTGTACATAAGCAGAATATGAATGTCCATATGGGTCATTAAACTAAAGGGAAACCATGAGAAAGTCAAAAGAGGTGCTGGGGAAGGTGTGGGCAATGGGACACACATGGCAGGAAAGCAGACTTTGCAATGACAACTACTGAAGAAAAAATACTACTCAGTCGTTTGTTAATAAGGGAAAATTATCCCTGAATCAATAACATTAACAGGCTCTTCTGTATAGTATTTGAAGGAAGGATTATAGGGAAATAGTACATTATTTTTTTTGTTTTTTGGTCTTTTTGAGACAGGGTCTCCCTGTAGCCCCAGCTGGCCTGGAACTCACTATGTAGACCAGTCTGGCCTTGAACTTACAGAGATCCGCCTGCCTCTGCCTCCCGAGGGCTGGGATTAGAGGCACGTGCATTCTTGGTGATGTGGTGGTGCACACCTTTAATCCCAGCACTTGGGAGGCAGAGGCAGGCAGATCTCTGTAAGTTCAAGGCCAGACTGGTCTACATAGTGAGTTCCAGGCCAGCTGGGGCTACAGGGAGACCCTGTATCAAAAAGACCAAAAAAACTTTTTTTATTCTTTTGATATCAGCCACCTCTGATTTTCATACCCTTATGCTAGGCTTAGCATTATCCCTTTGCTTGTAAAATTAGGTAGCTGGAGAACATTTATTGACAAGTAGGACTGTGCAGGACTTAAATAATGAGAAATGACATTTCTCTCTCTCTCTCTCTCTCTCTCTCTCTCTCTCTCTCTCTGTGTGTGTGTGTGTGTGTGTGTGTGTGTGTGTGTGTGTGTGTGTGTGTTGGGGAACAGAAGCCAGGGCCTCAAGCATGTCAGACAAGTGTTCTTCCACTGAGTCATACCCCAACCCTCTAAAAACTCCTGTAAAAGCCCTAGCATGCTTATGATACATTGTTGCAGCATGCTGGATTTATACCACACCTGTCTGCTAAACAGCCAAGGTTTCACATAGCTGGCTTATCCTTTCGGCATGCTTGTGAAATGTGCAGATTAGAAACAGATGGCTCAAACATAAAGCAAACTCCAGATATGAGTCCAGAGAACAACAGTGATTAACTGGAAATGACCTATCTACCCACACAGCAGAGAAATAAATGACCAGACATCCCATGCGCAATGCCTTTTAGAATGACCAACACTTCCCTTGTCATCACATTTCTAAGCTTTAAGACATCTTAAGTTTTCTCATATTATAAAATCAGTGTATAACCAGAATCATAATGCAATTCCATAATCGAGGTATTTGAGAGGCTGAGGCAGGAGGACTGCAAGTTCAAAGGCCGGCCTGGACTACAAAGTGAGTTTGAGGCCGGTCTGAGTGTCATAAGACCCTGTCTCAAAATAAAAAACAAAAAGTGGGCCTGAGATGTAGCTTAGCAATAGAGTGCTTGGTTACCTTGTGAAATGTTTGCGCCACGTTGGATCTTTGGCACTGATTAAAATAAAACAAAAAACCCTTTAGCTTTTTACATATTACATCAAAATCCCTGTTAAAGAATAATAGAAAATTCCCTCTGTATTTAACAGAACTAACATTAAATCTAAGGACTGGCCACTGACGAAGACCTTGAAGAGTCGCCAATTTGTCAAGATACTTAGGTTGATTCAATACATTTGCATCAGAATTTTGAAAATGAGAGATTGGGGGTGTAGCTCAGTAGTAGAGCATTT